CTCGCGCAAAATTCCAGTTTGCGAGCGCAAATTACTGCACGCAAAATTGGATCTTGATAAATCCGGCCCAGAGTGTTTAACTCGATATGCAATTGTTTGCTGTATCAATTAATCTATAATCAATCTCATGGTTTCTTGAAGAGAACTGCAGACTTGCATTAACTTTGATTTCTTACACCTGGCTTGATGTACCTGCACGGATGTACATGGAACGGCTGCAGCCAGGATGCACCAATCACTCTAGGATTAGTCTGGCTTTATCCATTATCCTGGGATTTCTGAATTCATCTTTGGTGAAGTAGGGCCTGGCTGCCATTTTGGTGAGGGCTAAACTCCAGTGGATCATATCAATCAAACAAAAGAGAGAATATTTAATTGTTTTTAAACAAAAACAAGAATTAAGTGGATACAATAAAAAAATAAACCAAATTAAAAACTTAAAAATAGAAAAAAAAATTATTTAACCTAATTAATAAACTTATTGCAAATCAAGATGTTTGTGTGTGACTAGATAAATACATATATACAAGGCATAAGAAAAGCCCACTTTCAGATTTCATGGTTTTAGCTATCATAAATGGGTCAGATTCCATGATTATTAAAATAAAAGTTAATGGCAGCAAAGCAACACATTTAAATGAAATGTACCATAAATATCCAGCTTCCTTAGAGATGAATAAATATCTGTATTTCAACCTTTATGAGATGCATTCCACATCTTATTTTTTCAACAGACTATCTCATAAAATTGGTTTTAGAACAAAATAGATTAGTATGATGTTCATGGACTCTTTATAAGAACATTTGTTTTCAATATTTTACATCTGCACAGTATTTTTTCCCTACAGTGATGCTAATTATGGTGTTTTTCACATATATGTATTTTTCTGTTAATGTGTTTTACTCTAAGCATTTTTTTCAATCTGTTTTACTCAATTTTCAGTCCACACTGCAGCTATCAACAGTTTCTCCTTCCATCCGTCGAGTAATTACCTAATCAGTGGCTCCAGTGATAGGACGGTTAAGATCCTGGACCTGCTGGAGGGCCGCCTCATCTACACTCTGCATGGACACAAGGTAATCCTTTCTTTCTTTCTTTCTTTCTTTCTTTCTTTCTTTCTTTCTTTCTTTCTTTCTTTCTTTCTTTCTTTCTTTCTTTCTTTCTTT